AACTTTTGCAAGAACTTTCACCATAACATATGTTATGTTGATCATTTTTTGTGATCTGCAACAGTGTCCACTATGCTCTATTTTTGATATTAACTTTTTTGTGTGTAACACGTCATTTTAGGGCTAAACATAGTAAATTCAGTAAACTTGTGCAACTTTGATGCTCAGATTCTCCACAACAACATGACATATCAATGAGATGACATCGTGATTTTGTAGAGGAAGGTCTTGGCTTCAAATACACGATTTATTTTGGGGTATTGCTTTTCCATTTGAAAATCTACACAACCAATAAAAAGTTGTGGGACTAAGTGACTTGCATCATATAATGTGATCGTGATATTCATCTAGACAAAAATAGTTAATATGAAATTAATTTATATCAGATCTACTATGGAACCCAAGAATTATAGTATTATCAGAAGTATTTTGAAAAAGGAACAAGGCAAAAAAATTGCTCCTTACATTTTCAAAATAAATGACACTCAGACACTTGAATCTTATCTAAGAAAAGAAAGGATTATTTATGAAATTTACCAAGAAGAAAGAAAAATAATAAACATTAGGAAAAGAAAGCAGTATGAAAGTGTGCTATTATCCAACAAGAGATGGAAACCTCTAGACAATGGAAAATGATAGGAACAAATTTATTATCTATCTTATCTTTTTCTTTTTGGCATTTTCTCAATAAGTAGCTAGATTTCTAAAACCAATACTAATGCTCCACCAACCATGGTTGAACACTGATTTTTTTTTTTTTATAAAGATATTTTACATAATATGTTTATATAAATAAAAAATCATGACTAAAAAAGAATGTTTTAATTGTAAAAATATAAAAGAAGGTTTAATGGTTAATTGATGAGATGAAGAAGAAAGAGAACATATTGAATACTGTTGTTGAGATTGTTCTCAAAATTTAATTCAAAAGAATTAGATGAAAAAAAACAGCAGACTGAGAAAGAAATAAAAAGAAAATCTTTAGGGAAACTTTACAAAAGGTTAAAAATAAAGAGTTAGAATGACCATGAAGGATATGGAGTTTAAAAGATAAAGGCAATGGGAGATGAGACAGATTTACTACCTATTATCCTCAATGCAAAATCATGTTGGATTGAGATGTCACAGCTTATGTTCTCAATGTCATAATTGCTAGGAAGAAATTGCAAGAGGTAAACAAAATGATCACTTTACTTGAAAAGATGATAACACTCCAAGTTATATTTGCCAAAAGTGTTACCAGAAAATGGTGTATTCAGAAGAAGCTTTAAAAAAAAAAGGCAACTGGATCATTGATGTTGCAAATTCAGGTGATTCTACTGCAAAAAAATGCCTTTTATCAAACTTAATGAATTTTTTTAACAGCTGATTGAAAGAAAGATCACAAAGATTCATTGAAGAAACAGTAAATTTACCAAGCAAATTCTTAATAAATACAGTTGAATTTTGAAGATGCAGATAATAAGAAAAACAAAATTACAAATTAAATCTCAGATGATCAGTGTTGAAATTCAATGCCCGTGTGTAACATCACGTTCCAATCAAAATTTAAATCTCAAAATATAATTACTAAATTTACATTGGTCACACGACGAAATTTCAACACTGCAGATGATTCCTTAATTATGGTCATCCAATTCAAGTAACAATAGTTTATTTGAGAAATTTTATCTACTAATAAAAAATGCTCTTCTGTTCAAGATGCAGAATCTAATGCTGACAGTTCAAAAAGGCAAAGAAAAATCACTACACTTGATGAACATAATATACCTGACCCTCTTGTTGAAAAGCCAACCGAAAGTCAAATTATAGATGCTATAAGAAGAACAGGATGGGAACATAAAAAACTAGTTGATTACATATATCAACGTATAAAAAAGAAAAAAGAAATTATTTAAATAAATTATTATATTTATTATCTTTATTATATACATATTTAATAAAAATACATTGGCTCAAAGTAAACTTGGAATTTTTCAAATAAAATAACTTTTCTATTGATAATGAATGTTGTTGATACAAACAAGTAAAATCCTATTATTATATTAAAACCCTATAATTCTGTTATTTGAAGAATAATCTCAGAATTACCTTCTCAAATCTGTTGTATTCACTTAAGTACAAGTTTGTAAATATAAGACATAAGATAATAAAATACATATTTTTACATTCTTTGACAAAATAAAAAAATATTGTAAAAATTAAAAGTTACATTTGAAGAGAAAATTTGAATTTGAATTCTTTCGTAACATTACATGTAATTGCAGCAGATATGAAATGATCACTGGCTGATAATAATTATAATAACAGCATTACGGATCATATATTAATAATAATTATGACGAACATCTATAGATGAAATGTCAAAAAAAGAATCTTCTATTGAGAATTTTTTCAAGAGCAAAATTCTGCTTGATAAACCCTCACTTTGAAATTTAATAAGAATGAATGATTATAATAGAACTAAACTAACAAGAATTACTTTTTTTAGTAAACTAAAATGAATATTTTGAGATCCAACAAATCTGGATATAAGACGTTGAAAACCAATTATCATAACAACATGACCATTTAAAATGTCCATCAGGAAATTAATTTAGCGTAAACTTGCATAAATCTTACGATGCCGACGTAATATTGTGTAAATCTTACAGTGCCGACGTAAGTTTTACACTTTTTTATTATTAAACTTACAATTGACATGTGTAAAATTTTTTTATATTTTCCGGATGTCTTCAATTTCTTCACTACTATAAATAGGAGAACTATTATCAGGTGAATTATTATCAAGAGAGTTATGTAGTTCATTCATGAAGAAATCAATAACTAACGGTAAAATTGAAGGAGAGGAATTAATCATTAATTATTATTATTTATTTTTTTATGTTTTATTTTTTTTTTGATTATTATATACTGTATATTAATATATTAATATATATATTTTATTTATTATCGGAAAAAATAAATTTTTTTTTTGTGTTCAATAATAATTTAAAAACTGAAACCAAACTGAAAATTTTTGAATTGGTTTTTTAAAAACTGAAACCGAACTGAAAATTTCGGTTTAAACCGAACCGTTCAGAGCTTTAGAATTTTGAAAATAAAAATAAAAATAAATGTAAATATGTAAATATATAAATATAAATATAAATATATATAAATATAAATATATAAATATAAAAGAAATATATATATTTTAAATACATTTTTTAAATTGTATACATCATTTTATAATTACACCCTGAGTATATCTATTGTTGTTTAAAAATCCTTCTTGTTTTTAAATGTATCATTAAAAAATCAAGAAATAATGTTCTCTAATTCTGTAATTAATCAAAATACATAAGTGACTTACTTTCAAAGCAATTCTCTTGATTAAAAAAAGAAAATAACAATTAACTCTCAAATCAATACCAAAAACCATTTGTCAGTAAGATTTCCTATTAAATCTGATCCACATAATACACATAAACAATTTTGTTTGTTATCAATCACCTTTTTTTTAAAAATTTTTTTTTAGAAATTAAATTATATATATATGTATTGTAATAATTGAATATTATCCCACACTTCTATAATGACGCATGATGTAGATCCTTGTGGTTATCAATAACATACCAGAAATTTAATTAGTTAACATCCCGCAAATTTAATTAGTTATCACTCCAGAAATTTACACTATTTATATATATTAATATTGAAACTATGTGAAATTGAAATTTATAATTAAAATTTTGGGGTGGGTGTTTGGATATGAAATTCTGATTGGCTAATTTGAATTTCACATATGTGAATTGCAAATTCACATAGATTTCATTTTCACAGATACATTTATTATTTATATTTATTATTTTTTTTCTAATACAATATTAATAGAAGCCATAATTATAATAAATTTAATAACATGATGACTATAAATATTAGAAAATTAATCTTTTGGTGTGATTTGAAAATTTATTTGAATGTTACTACAATTTTTTATAGAAATTTTCAGCAAACAAGATTGTTCATCATGATTTAAATTTGTCTTATCTGATAATGGTGTTGATATTGGTGATGATGATGATGCATCTATAGAAATAAATCAATTAGCTCAAATAATACAGTAATATTTATATTATTTACATCTTTGATACTTACTTGAACCAGGATTGGAATTGAAATCATCACATTTATCAGGAATCATTTTATTTATAGTTTCATGCATAATTTGCTTAGTGAATGTTTGATAAGCAGCAATACCACTTGTTGACCTATGACAGTAATTGACATAATCTTTTCATTCATTACATTTAGCTGTGTTAGGTGTTGTACAGTTGTGCATCTTATTGAATGATTTGTAATATGTTTTAGGTCTAAATCTATTCCAGTGGTTTCACAAATCTTATGTATCATATTTTCATGTGAATGTTGTGAGCGTGTAAATTCAATTACAGCTCGGGTTGTGTCCAATAAAATATAAGATAAAATAAAATAAATAAAAGTCCAATATATTAATCTCCCTGTATCAGCACACAGCTCAGAGCCTACTCAAAACTCTATTGCGCAATCTCTCTTTACAGTACTAATATGAAGTACTGCTGGCCTAAAAATGATAAATAAAATAAAAAGAATATATACAAGAAATATTTACAACTATACCACTTGAGGCGTCCCTACAAGCAGCATAGGACAATCAAATGGGGGGTTTTCTAACTAATGATTAGTGGCCAGCCACTAATCATCAGAGAGGACCATGGAACAATTCACAATGGCTTTTCCTATTAACTATGCAAAAATTCGTAATAAGGTAAAATGTGTTTATTTAATTATTAACAACAGGGAGGGGGGAAGAAAAAAAAATTATTTATTCAATTATTATTAATGTTATTAACACGATCTCCCCTTTAACTTGGTCTAAAGAGCATAATGGAATTTCTCTGTGATTGGTCAATAATGATCGACAAATTTAATTGAGTTTATTGGCCAGAATTTATTTATTTAACTTAATATATATAAAATTCAATTCTAATCATTAACTTATATGCAATATTATTAGGTGTTATCTTTGATAATACTATTTTAAATTTCTAAAATATATCCAAAAAAAAGTAACTATTAAGTTCAATTCTTAAATTTTTTCATAAAAATTGAATTTGTAAATACATAATGATAATATTTTATTTTAACTTATCTGCAATATTATTAGGTTTCTTGTTCCTTTTATACTGTTAAGTCCATTGACTCTTTTATATTTCATATTTTAAATTTTGTACATGTTATTACAACATTTTAAACCTCCTATTATTGTGAACTTTACTTATAATACTGCCATGGGAAAACCTTTGATCAGGTTTGATCAGGGTATGGGATATGATAAAAAAGCTTGAAAATTACGTGCCTATAAAAAAATTTTTTTTTTTGATATACAAATCTGTGACTTGTCATATGACGGACCTATTTTTAATAGGACGACTATTATAAAATAATATAAATAACCGTGTAACAATTTTTGGAAAATGATCGACATTTAGAAATTCCGTTATGCTGGTCTAAAGCCAAGCCTTTTTATACCTCTTGAGGTATTACAAATAACATGACCTTTACAATATTTTATCCAATAAAATATGCTTATTAATCCTATTTTCTGTATTACTAGCTTACTAATTGCTAATTACTAATGCTATGACTCATAATTACTAATCCTATGAGTCATTATTACAAATAATTTGATTAATAATTCGAAGTAAATAATTATGTCATAAAATAAGTTAAAAATAGAAATGATGTAATGATCTACATGTGTAACATGACGTGCAACCGTTGCAATAAATATAGAAAGATGATTGTTAATCGTGATGTAATATTCAGCGCATCACATGACTTCCGTAGTAAGTTCGTTCTAATTGGTCAATTGGTTGGTCCACGGTTTACAATCTCACAATGTCTTCCTAAAGGAGCATCAATAAACCAAATACCTTTATTGATAAAGTCTTTAAATAAATAAATATATAGATATTAATCGTTCATTTGTTAAGGATATAAAATAGAATCAGATATGTATAGTAGCTATTTACCTGACTTAGAAGACCAATGAAGGAAAAAAAATTCACATTTAAACCCTTGAGGTCTTTTAGATATGTAATTGATGACATCTGAGACAGGTATTAATTTTCTTTTATTGTCAGGTGGAATGTCTATAACCCTACCAGAATTATTTAAATCTTTAAAACCACCAGCATTATTTTTTTCACAAGGAATTGTAATTGTCAATCCATTAATAGCTGTTAATTCCACATTTACCAATTTAATCTTTGAGCATCCCCACCATGAAAACCACATAAGAAACATAACCAGAAATAGGCTTTGTAAGTGGATGATAATGGTGTGTCTTTATTTAACTCATGATGTGTTTAAATTTTGCCATATTCAAGTGGATCAAGATTTTTCTGTTTAATTATGCTTAAATCTTGTATTTTTTTAATTTTTCCATCTGAAAGTTTGTGAAGTCTTGGAAACATACGTTCATCATAAAGATCTGGAACAGGAGAAATGTTTGAATTGTCCCATAGATACCTACATATTGCAGCAAAACAATTTTTTATTGATGTTGGTGCATATGGCGATTTGTCTTTTTTGAAAAAATTGAATCAATTCTTCTTGTAATTGATTTATAACAGTAATTTTACCAATGTCATAATTGTATCCCATTTTGGTTCTAATATCTGTAAGAACTTTCAACCAGAATTGTGTATTACGAGTAGTATTTTTAACTTCGCCATAATTTATGGTATCTTCAATTTCTTTGTTTGTGGGTATATAAACATTTGACTAAAAAAAAAAAATAAATTTAAAAACTTAAAATATATATATTAAAAGAATTGACTTTATTAAAAGTACCTCAGTTTCTTCCAAAGAATTATTGTCTATGGTGTCAATTTCAGAATTAACAGATTCGAAATTCATAATTGTTTAAGAGAATGTCAGTGCCTATATAATGTTATAGTTTATCATTACAAAAAAAAATAACTCACTATTCTTATCAGTAAATAATGATTTATGAATCTTTCTTGCTAATGTGAACATTTTTCATAAAATAGTCATTCAATGAACGAGAATATGTTTTTTATTTTATTTTATTTTGTTTTTGGAGATAAGCTTTTTTTTAAACTACAAGGATCTACATCATGCACATATAGAAGCGAAGGATAACTCTCTTATCCCCACATTCGGGGTGATAAATTTATCAAATTTCATGTGAATTTGTGACCCCTTTTGGGCCACAAATTCAGCAGTAAATTTGCTGTTATCCCCCACTTCGTGGGGGATAACTATTATTTATTAAACCTCTTGCTAGTAATGGTTCCTCTAAAGATATATATGCATGTGTGTTTAAATATTTTTTTCACTATATATAATAAATAAAATATTATCCAAAATTTAATGTATCAAGTTTATATAACAAAAAAAATAAATAATAATATTTACAAGTGAAAGTTTATCTTACATCATAGATAGTTTTCTCGCATTTTTCTTTCTCTCCATCTCTTGTCAATAATAATGATGTTGTGATCAAAGAGGATGAACAAAAAGGCATAACATTAATACATGGTCATGGAACTTTATAAAAAGGGTGTTGTCTCAAATATAAAATCCTATATAATAATAATAAACTAAAAAAGATAATGGTTAATGACAATTTGTTACATTAAATTAAGATGAAGGAATGATTATTTCCGAAATGCTTGTATTGGTAAAATTTTAAATAAACATATTATAAAACAAAAATGCATGATTCTGAGCCTAGAATGTCTTAATTTGTTCACTAAAGCTTGAAATATAGCTCCTATGTAACCCTTCAAAAACAACTTGATCATTTGATCATTTTTCACACACATACTGAGAACATAGAAAGCAAAATATACACATTAAAAAATACATCTCAGGTTAAACAAGTTTTTGTGCGCAATCACGCGACTTTTTCTACATACGTAAATCAATTGTGAAAATCTTTTCCTTATGCAGGACGGTCTCTCCTGTTCATTCAATATCATTTAGTATGGTTGGCTCGGTTTAAAGACCTCCTATTGCTGCGCCACGCGCTCAAATTTCAAAAATTGCAATTTCGTGATTCGTTCAAAAATGCAATAAATTTTTTTTAAAAGGGTTGCACGTGATTTTGGTTAAAAACTATTTTCCTTACTGCCAAATTTAGATATGATGGTCGAGTATTAGGCTAAATTTAGGAATGATGATCAAAAGCTAGTCTAAATTTAGCAATGATCCTAGCGCTCAAATTTCTCATGAGCATAGTAAAGTACATGTTTTAAAAAAGAATAGAACTCTACAATAAATAATTTTTTGGAGAAAATCTCTTCATTACATTAAAAGTAGAAACCTATTTTACCAACTAATGAGGCTATTTTTTTAAAAGGTAGGACAGAAAATGACTTCTATACTTTTAAAATTTGCCCAAAATTTAGGAGGTCTTTAGACCGAGCCACTATATAAGTGTTTGAAATCTTCTTGCAGAAGGATCAAGTGTCCAAATGTTCATTATAAATGTATGTGACCATTTAGATTATTTTTATAGGACGTGAAAGAATTATATACCAATTACAGTTTGTTCTTTGTGATTCAGATGGTTTCTTTTTTGTTGGTACCCTCAAACAAGAGTCTGTTTTCGTATGTCATTTTCAAATTTTCTTTGTTTAATATATACTAGATACTAACCTTTCAAAGTTGGGAAATGCATACTAGAATCCAATTTTATATTAGCTTTGACATCAGCTCCTCGTTTTCACCCTCCTCCTCCTCCTCCTCTCCTCAACAACATCACTCACTATCTTCAGGAATGTTCTCTAAAAATGTGGTGGTTGATATAAATTCGCTTTCGCTTTCAAAATAACTTGGAAAGTCAAATTAACAAAGTTTTTTCAAGGGGCTAAAATTTATTAAAAATAAAAAATTTTATTCCATATGAAAAATAATGAAAATAATTAACAACAATTCATCCAATTCTCCAACTTTAACTTTATCAAATATTTATTATTATTATTACTACTATTATCATTGTAATTAATAAACAATAATGTTTAAATTAATAGATTTCAATTAATTAACCTATTAAAATTATATTTCGTAATTTAATAAGCTATCATTACTTAAATTTGATTTAGCAAATTCATCATTTACATCATTTAATATTCGACTTGTATGATATGCTAATGGATGTGATTTGTGAATTTGTTGTGAATTACTATTGTTATTACTACCACCACCAATATTACCACTACTTTCATTAAGACTTACAGTTTTAAATTTATGTTGTGCAAATTCAAAAAGCTCTCTAATAGTTGGTCTCTTGGCTGTATCTGCATCCCAACACCTTTGCATCATCTGTACATAATCATTGGGCATTCCTGGTAATATTGGTGGTCGTAAACCTTCACATATTTTTAATTGCAAATGAACATCATGTGCTCTATCATCAAATGGTGGATGACCTGCAAATATTTCCCACATCAGCATCCCAACACTATAAACATCAGTTTCTTTTGTATATTTCACATTAATTTTGCCACCAAGTAGCTCAGGTGCAATATAAGATACAATTCCATAAATTTTATTTGATGATTTTTCATCAACTGGCCCACATAATCCAAAATCTGTGATATAACAACCACCTCCTTGCAATAATATATTACCACTATGTAAATCACAATGAATTAAATCTTTTTCATGTATACAATATAATGCATTACATAAATACATAAAAATATCAATTCTATCTTTTGATGTTAAATTTGAATGATTTTTTTGTATATAATCTCTTAAATTTCCCTCTCTAAAATGATTAAGAACCATTGCATAGTTTCCATCTTTTGGGAATTTAGTTATGCCATAGCAAGGGACAATTAAATCTGGTTCAATTTTACAATAATTCAATGCCTGAAATTAATTATATATAAATAAGTTAATTAATTTAAAATAAAATAAATGTTTTTATTTTAAATAAGAACAATACCTCATCAAAAAAAGGCTTTCCTGGGTTACTTGAATTATTTAATGATTTTAATACTATATTCTGATCTCCAAAATAACTAAACTCCTTTTTATTTTCATCATAATCAACAATATGTCCTCTTGTCCACCCAGCAGTATAAATAGAACTGAATCCACCTTCTGTTAACTTTTCTATGTCATGAAATTGTTCATAAGGTATCCATTCTATAATTCTATTTGGAAGAGATGAAAGCTGTTGACATTTTTGAATAAAACCATCAATTATCTCATTCCAAGATGTCCAAGTGCTGAAAAGGTTCTGTAAGTGTAGACTAATACACTTTTCACAATATTTATCAGAGTATCTTGTTGTCCCACAATTATTGCATTCTCTTGGTTCACCCCATTTATTAGCTGCTTTATTTAATTCGAAATCATAAATAAACCTTTGTTTACAATATTCCTTTTCATTTCTAAGAGTACTTTGTTTTCTTTGACTAATTGTAAAAATAACCTTTATAATTTTCAATGTTAGAAACATTTGGAAAAGCAGAATGAGCAATACCTTCCATTTCATTATAAATTTTACGTGCTGATTCTCTTCTGTCTTGTGTTAATAACTTAACAAAGGACATTTTAACTTTTTTTAATATTTATTTTTTGTATACTTTGTTTGACACAAATTTCTTTTTGTGATATTTTGACAATCCGTCTATAAATGAATAAAAATTGTATGACAACAATCTATGCTTGGTTTTACATCTAATGTCAGAGTCTTATCTGTGATTGTATTGGAAAAAAGTTTTTTTTTTAATAAAGTGAAGTTAATATTTAAAATCTCTTAATTTAAATGAAAACACCCTTATATTAAACCTTCACTAATACTTGCATTATCAAGATTAATTTTTGACTGAATAACCTTCTCAATATGTTGCATCTAATAATATAGTTTCTTTTAATATCCTAATAGTAAAATTTGTTTATTAAAAATAAAGTAAATTAGCTAAAAAATGTCATATAATTTGATTACTTATATTAAAACTTTATGAATACTTATGTTATTGAGATTAAATTTAACCAGGTGATAAATGTGATAAAGAGAAATTCCACCATGCTATGGTTGACTCGGTCTAAAGACCTCTTATTGCTGCGCCATATACTCAAATTTCAAAATTGCAATTTCGTGATTTGTTCAAAAATGCAATAAATTTTTTTAAAAAAGGGCTTCAGGTGATTTTGGTTAAAAAATTATTTTTCTTACTGCCAAATTTAGATATGATGGTCGAATATTACTCTAAATTTAGTAACGATGATCAAAAACTAGCCTAAATTTAGCAATGATAATACACAGTGAATCTTGATTTAGCGGATACTAATTAAAAATCTCGGTTTTACGGATAAAGTTCAAAGAACGGTTTCATGATAAACCTTAATAAAAACCTTCTCGATATAGCGTATATCTCGGTTTATGGATTTTTGGAAAATTTTCCCTAATTGCCCAAACTATCTGTTAAATCGAGATTCACTGTATGGTGCTAAAATTTCTCATGAGCATAGTAAAGTGCATGTTTTTAAAAAATGAATAAAACTCTATAACAAATAAATTTTTGAGAAAATCTTTATATTACATTAAAACTAAAGACACATTCTATCAACTAATAGAGCTATTTTTTTAAATAGCAGGACCGAAAATGACTTCTATACTTTTAAAATTTGCCCAAAATTTAGGAAGTCTTTAGACTGAGCCAACTATAATAATAATAATGATAATTGATTGGGGGCGTCACAGAACCCCGAACAATCTTAGGAGATGGTACATTTGAAAAAATACCCACTTTATTCCCATTTTTGGAAATAATTTACAAGATCATCACAAAATTTATCCTAATTAGGAGATGGGATTCGATTTTGAAGGCTATTTCTACCCAAAATTGAAATGTACCATCTTTAAGATTGTTCGGGGTCCTGGCGTCACAGTCTAATAAGTTAGTTTAAAGGATAGATAATAAAAAAAAATTTTACGTTTAATTGCTGATCTGTGAATGAATCAGGGAGACCTCAAATCTGTGTTTCCTACATAGAAAAGTCTTTATTAATCACACAAACTATGTTAATTTACACGAGTAATTCCAAGCTTTTCCAAAAAGTATTATGAGGTCGCGTTCGTGTCAAATGCGTTACTTTAATGTTGATATTAATAATTTCACATTTCACAAACTGTTCCGATTAAATCCCAAAAAAATACCAATCCCTCGCGCTCAATTGATCTATCGCTGTATGAAGTTTATAGCAGAGTACGTCTGATGAAAATTAACGGTTAGAAAAATAATTATTCAAGAAATATTTTGCAATGTTTTATTCTCTTTGTTTACTAATATTGATAGTTTTATTATATACGTTTGTTTTATAATTACATTATTATAATCAGTGAATGGAAGATAATCATAAAAAGAAAAATCAAGGAAATTTGAGCAGTATTTCGATGTAATTCAATGCTCGGCATTAAAGACACACTTGTACCCAAAGTTCTATCTAGAAAAGTTTTTCTCTTTAAATTCCTGTTCTAATTTCCAGTTAAAGGAATCTTGACATCTTTCTCTTCTACTAACAAATTGCTTGCCAAGTATTCAAAATGTTGTTAATTAAAATTCAGTCGAGTAATTAATTGATAAATAAACACAAATAATAATACTAAGCCACAATTGTCAAAAAAAAAAAACAATGATCAATAATAATAATGCCAATGTTAATAGTAATATAGCAACCACAACACACATTACTATTAATACCGCTAATTCTACTAAGGTTACCACTATTATACCAGTAAATCTTCAACAACAACAACAGCAACAACAAAAATATCAATTGATTAAAGATGGTACAAAGAGCGGAATCAAACATCGAGGATGGATAATAACAACTGTCAAGAAGCCAATTTCGAATTCACAAGAGATCGAAAAGTAATTATTAATTATTAATTGAATACATTAATATGTATTGATATCTCATCGCTCAGTCTTTAATTCATTCTTAAGAGTTTCAAAAGAAGTAGGGATTTCGTTGCCAGAAATGTTTTTTGGAAATAATAAGTTACAAATCTCGAATGAAAATGATATTTTATTTGAGTTTTCACCTATTGATGCATTGAAATATGTTGATGCTAGTAAAGAAGGTGGCGAAAAGGTTAAAGTTGCATATTCAGATGAATGGAGAAGGAAAAGGTAATCAATCAATCAATCAATCAATCAATTTAAAAGAAAATGAAAACAAATTTAATTTAATTTATTATAGTGCTAATAATAATGAAGACATTAAAGATGTAATAAAGCCATATGATTGGACTTATTCAACATCATATTCTGGCACTTTAATAAATCCAACTGTTGAAAAGGTTTATTCACAATTTATTATTTCATCATTGTCATTATTGTTATCTTGTAGTAATAATTACAATTTGTTTAGAAATTTGAAAAATCTGATGAAAGAATCAATTATGAAAAACTTCGAATACCCGAGTCTATTTTATTTTATGATGAAGTGATGTTATTTGAGGATGAATTGGCTGACAATGGAACTGCTATATTAAATATGAAAGTTGTATGTATATTATCATTTTCATTTTTATTATCATTTTTCATTCTCATTATACTTTATTGATTTGCTTTAATATATTATTATGAAATAAGCGTGTTATGGAATCGTGTTTTTTCATATTACAACGTTACTTTCTAAGAGTCGACGATGTTTTATTTAGAATGAATGAGACTAGAATATATCATGAATTTGGTAACAAATATTTAATAAGAGAATATTCATCAAGAGAAGAAAATTACAATAAAATACGTGATGTAAATTTTATCATTGAAAAATAATATATATATATTTTTTTTAAACTGTCACTATTTGCTATTGTTAATAATACCTTTATTGTATTTTATTATTATTATTTTTTTTAGAAGATACCAAAGTATAAAGGCAATGACATCTCTCAATTAACAGATCCAGATTGGGTTTCTTCAAAGTTATCACCAGCTACGGATCCAATAGTAGAAAAATTGCTTGTCGCGCCTAATTAAATATTCTATATTCATAGTATATGTGTGTATATAGGAAGTTTGCTTGCTGATATAAACTTTGGGATTTATTAATTTGGAAATTCATCATTTATTTATGATGTTAATGTAATTCATATTAATGTTACCGTTGTAATTGCCAATGCGGATGGTTTGTAAATTTCAAAAGTCTGCTTGCTTGTATAAACTGATATTGGATGAATTGTTGTAATGATTATATGAAATTTTTTTCCATATCGTTGAAATATTTCCTAAAGAAAACTTTATTCAATCTCTATATAATTTCTCTAATTCCTTTAGCATCCATCATCAAATGGTGGATGTCCTGCAAATATTTCCCATGTCAACATCCCAACACTATAAACATCAGTTTCTTTTGTGTATTTTTTTCCTCTAAATAGTTCTGGTGCAATATAAGATACAATTCCATAAATTTTATTTGATGATTTTTCATCAACTGGTCCACATAATCCAAAATCTGTGATATAACAACCACCTCCTTGCAATAATATATTACCACTATGTAAATCACAATGAATTAAATCTTTTTCATGTATATGATATAATGCATTACATAAATAGCTAAATATTGTAATTCTATCTTTTAATCTTAAATTATTATGATTTTTTTGTATATAATCTCTTAAATTTCCCTCTGGTGCATAAGTAAGAACTATTGCATAATTTCCATTTTCTGGGAGTTTAGTTATACCAAAACAAGGAACAATTGTTCCTGATTTGATTTTACAATAATTCAATGCCTGAAATTAATTATAAATAAAGTTAGTTAATTTAAAATAAAATAAATGGTTTTAATTTAAATAAGAACAATTACCTCATCAAAAAAAGGATTTCCTGGATTACATGAATTATTTAATGATTTTAATACTACATCCTGAAATCCAAAATAATTAAGCTCCTTTTTGTTTTCATCATAATCAACAATAGTTCCTTTTGTCCACCCAGCAGTATAAATAGAACTGAATCCACCTTCTGTTAACTTTTCTATATCATAAAATTGCTCATAAGGTATCCATTCTATCATTTGAGTTGGAAGAGATGAAATCTGTTGACATTTTTGAATAAACCTATCAATTATCTCATTCCCAGATGTCCAAGTGCTGAAGAGGCCCTGTAAGTGTAGACTAATACACTTTTCACAATATTTATCAGAGTATCTTGTTGTCCCACAATTATTGCATTCTCTTGGTTCACCCCATTTATTAGCTGCTTTATTTAATTCGAAATCATAAATAAACCTTTGTTTACAATATTCCTTTTCATTTCTAAGAGTACTTTGTTTTCTTTGACTAATTGTAAAAATAACCTTTATAATTTTCAATGTTAGAAACATTTGGAAAAGCAGAATGAGCAATACCTTCCATTTCATTATAAATTTTACGTGCTGATTCTCTTCTGTCTTGTGTTAATAACTTAACAAAGGACATTTTAACTTTTTTTAATATTTATTTTTTGTATACTTTGTTTGACACAAATTTCTTTTTGTGATATTTTGACAATCCGTCTATAAATGAATAAAAATTGTATGACAACAATCTATGCTTGGTTTTACATCTAATGTCAGAGTCTTATCTGTGATTGTATTGGAAAAAAGTTTTTTTTTTAATAAAGTGAAGTTAATATTTAAAATCTCTTAATTTAAATGAAAACACCCTTATATTAAACCTTCACTAATACTTGCATTATCAAGATTAATTTTTGACTGAATAACCTTCTCAATATGTTGCATCTAATAATATAGTTTCTTTTAATATCCTAATAGTAAAATTTGTTTATTAAAAATAAAGTAAATTAGCTAAAAAATGTCATATAATTTGATTACTTATATTAAAACTTTATGAATACTTATGTTATTGAGATTAAATTTAACCAGGTGATAAATGTGATAAAGAGAAATTCCACCATGCTATGGTTGACTCGGTCTAAAGACCTCTTATTGCTGCGCCATATACTCAAATTTCAAAATTGCAATTTCGTGATTTGTTCAAAAATGCAATAAATTTTTTTAAAAAAGGGCTTCAGGTGATTTTGGTTAAAAAATTATTTTTCTTACTGCCAAATTTAGATATGATGGTCGAATATTACTCTAAATTTAGTAACGATGATCAAAAACTAGCCTAAATTTAGCAATGATAATACACAGTGAATCTTGATTTAGCGGATACTAATTAAAAATCTCGGTTTTACGGATAAAGTTCAAAGAACGGTTTCATGATAAACCTTAATAAAAACCTTCTCGATATAGCGTATATCTCGGTTTATGGATTTTTGGAAAATTTTCCCTAATTGCCCAAACTATCTGTTAAATCGAGATTCACTGTATGGTGCTAAAATTTCTCATGAGCATAGTAAAGTGCATGTTTTTAAAAAATGAATAAAACTCTATAACAAATAAATTTTTGAGAAAATCTTTATATTACATTAAAACTAAAGACACATTCTATCAACTAATAGAGCTATTTTTTTAAATAGCAGGACCGAAAATGACTTCTATACTTTTAAAATTTGCCCAAAATTTAGGAAGTCTTTAGACTGAGCCAACTATAATAATAATAATGATAATTGATTGGGGGCGTCACAGAACCCCGAACAATCTTAGGAGATGGTACATTTGAAAAAATACCCACTTTATTCCCATTTTTGGAAATAATTTACAAGATCATCACAAAATTTATCCTAATTAGGAGATGGGATTCGATTTTGAAGGCTATTTCTACCCAAAATTGAAATGTACCATCTTTAAGATTGTTCGGGGTCCTGGCGTCACAGTCTAATAAGTTAGTTTAAAGGATAGATAATAAAAAAAAATTTTACGTTTAATTGCTGATCTGTGAATGAATCAGGGAGACCTCAAATCTGTGTTTCCTACATAGAAAAGTCTTTATTAATCACACAAACTATGTTAATTTACACGAGTAATTCCAAGCTTTTCCAAAAAGTATTATGAGGTCGCGTTCGTGTCAAATGCGTTACTTTAATGTTGATATTAATAATTTCACATTTCACAAACTGTTCCGATTAAATCCCAAAAAAATACCAATCCCTCGCGCTCAATTGATCTATCGCTGTATGAAGTTTATAGCAGAGTACGTCTGATGAAAATTAACGGTTAGAAAAATAATTATTCAAGAAATATTTTGCAATGTTTTATTCTCTTTGTTTACTAATATTGATAGTTTTATTATATACGTTTGTTTTATAATTACATTATTATAATCAGTGAATGGAAGATAATCATAAAAAGAAAAATCAAGGAAATTTGAGCAGTATTTCGATGTAATTCAATGCTCGGCATTAAAGACACACTTGTACCCAAAGTTCTATCTAGAAAAGTTTTTCTCTTTAAATTCCTGTTCTAATTTCCAGTTAAAGGAATCTTGACATCTTTCTCTTCTACTAACAAATTGCTTGCCAAGTATTCAAAATGTTGTTAATTAAAATTCAGTCGAGTAATTAATTGATAAATAAACACAAATAATAATACTAAGCCACAATTGTCAAAAAAAAAAAACAATGATCAATAATAATAATGCCAATGTTAATAGTAATATAGCAACCACAACACACATTACTATTAATACCGCTAATTCTACTAAGGTTACCACTATTATACCAGTAAATCTTCAACAACAACAACAGCAACAACAAAAATATCAATTGATTAAAGATGGTACAAAGAGCGGAATCAAACATCGAGGATGGATAATAACAACTGTCAAGAAGCCAATTTCGAATTCACAAGAGATCGAAAAGTAATTATTAATTATTAATTGAATACATTAATATGTATTGATATCTCATCGCTCAGTCTTTAATTCATTCTTAAGAGTTTCAAAAGAAGTAGGGATTTCGTTGCCAGAAATGTTTTTTGGAAATAATAAGTTACAAATCTCGAATGAAAATGATATTTTATTTGAGTTTTCACCTATTGATGCATTGAAATATGTTGATGCTAGTAAAGAAGGTGGCGAAAAGGTTAAAGTTGCATATTCAGATGAATGGAGAAGGAAAAGGTAATCAATCAATCAATCAATCAATCAATTTAAAAGAAAATGAAAACAAATTTAATTTAATTTATTATAGTGCTAATAATAATGAAGACATTAAAGATGTAATAAAGCCATATGATTGGACTTATTCAACATCATATTCTGGCACTTTAATAAATCCAACTGTTGAAAAGGTTTATTCACAATTTATTATTTCATCATTGTCATTATTGTTATCTTGTAGTAATAATTACAATTTGTTTAGAAATTTGAAAAATCTGATGAAAGAATCAATTATGAAAAACTTCGAATACCCGAGTCTATTTTATTTTATGATGAAGTGATGTTATTTGAGGATGAATTGGCTGACAATGGAACTGCTATATTAAATATGAAAGTTGTATGTATATTATCATTTTCATTTTTATTATCATTTTTCATTCTCATTATACTTTATTGATTTGCTTTAATATATTATTATGAAATAAGCGTGTTATGGAATCGTGTTTTTTCATATTACAACGTTACTTTCTAAGAGTCGACGATGTTTTATTTAGAATGAATGAGACTAGAATATATCATGAATTTGGTAACAAATATTTAATAAGAGAATATTCATCAAGAGAAGAAAATTACAATAAAATACGTGATGTAAATTTTATCATTGAAAAATAATATATATATATTTTTTTTAAACTGTCACTATTTGCTATTGTTAATAATACCTTTATTGTATTTTATTATTATTATTTTTTTTAGAAGATACCAAAGTATAAAGGCAATGACATCTCTCAATTAACAGATCCAGATTGGGTTTCTTCAAAGTTATCACCAGCTACGGATCCAATAGTAGAAAAATTGCTTGTCGCGCCTAATTAAATATTCTATATTCATAGTATATGTGTGTATATAGGAAGTTTGCTTGCTGATATAAACTTTGGGATTTATTAATTTGGAAATTCATCATTTATTTATGATGTTAATGTAATTCATATTAATGTTACCGTTGTAATTGCCAATGCGGATGGTTTGTAAATTTCAAAAGTCTGCTTGCTTGTATAAACTGATATTGGATGAATTGTTGTAATGATTATATGAAATTTTTTTCCATATCGTTGAAATATTTCCTAAAGAAAACTTTATTCAATCTCTATATAATTTCTCTAATTCCTTTAGCATCCATGCATCTGTGTGCTAGTTGAATGTAAATTTGAGTATGTTTTTCGAAAAACAAAGGTCTTAAATCATGTGCCAAACTACTGAACTCCAAAATTACAGATGACAGATGTCGTTGTATACGATTTACAATTTAATACTTCTGGCGCGATAATACACACATATCTCTACTGTACATGATAATCCTATATAGGTCTGCTATTTTCAAATTTTTTCATAAAGAATATTACCACTATATGTGAAGATCACGATGAACACCATTAAAAGATTTCTGATTTCATTTTTCCAAAGTTTTTTGTTGAACCATCATGAAGAATTCCATCCTTTATATTCTTTGTAATTGGGTTTTGTATGCTAAACCCATAAATTTTAACTATACATATATGACTTATTATGAAATTTAACATAACTTTAAACTGGCAACGAAATAAATATTTAATTTCATCAATAGAATTAGTATTTAATAATAATAACAATAATTTATTTGAAATATCTTGAGAATTATGCAGGTTTTTAATACAACAATCACACCTTTAATTCTTTCAATAAAATATATTTTGCACCATTTGCACATGTAGCTTTATATACCGTCTCAAAACCATCTTCACCCATCTTTTAATGTCTTTTTTAAGTTATCGTAAGGAATCCATTGAATGTATATTCTGTTGCTTCTGGTTGGAAATAAATCAATTAATTGCCACTAGTGTTAATAGCTATGAATCACATGATAGACACCATGCACTAGAAGTATTATATCAAATATTTATTCCCCAAGTAAAGAAAAACAATCCAATCCTGTATTGTGGTTTTGAATAGTCATCATTTCATCAATTTTTTGTTGTCAATCTAATTTGACGATCATTTCTTAAATAAAAAAAAAATTTTTTGCATTTCTAATTTTTTATCAAAAGCTTCCTAAAAAAGCTACTCTCTTCTCTTTTCACCATGACATTTCTTCAACGTTCGGTGTTTAGGTTGACATGTAGTGGTAGAAGTAGTAGTAGCAGTTTTATTAGTAATAAGATATTTAGTAGAAATATAACAACAGGCTTTTATAGGAATAATAATTTTTTAAGAACATCAACAGCAGCAACTCGTAGTCCTTTTGTATTTTATGGTTTGTCAAAAAGATTTATCTATAAAGAAAAAATGAATTATGTTTATCGACTAATTCAATCAATTGATTATAATTAGGCCGTAATTATGTTACCGAGACAAGTAGTAATTCCGGCACAATTCAAGCTGTAATTGGTGCAGTTGTTGATGTACAATTCGAGGAAAAAAGTTTACCGCCAATTTTAAATTCGTTAGAAGTACAAAAGCCAGATGGTAATCGTCTTGTTCTTGAAGTGGCTCAACATCTTGGACAAAATGTTGTTAGAACAATAGCTATGGATGGTACAGAAGGTAATCTATGATGATGAATTATATAACGATGGATGGAATAGATTAATTTGTGTGAATTGATCAATTATATTTTATCATTCTTTTCTTCTCCGCCAAAAAAAAAAAAAAATATATTTTAGGTCTTGTTCGTGGTCAAAAAGTTTTAGACACAGGTTCACCAATTAAAATCCCCGTGGGTCCTGAATGTTTAGGACGCATCATCAATGTTATCGGAGAACCAATCGATGAACGTGGTCCAATTAACACAAAAAAAACTGCTGCTATTCATGCAGACGCACCAGAATTTGTTGATCAATCCACTGCTCCTGAAATTCTTGAAACTGGTATTAAGGTTGTGGATTTGTTGGCTCCTTATGCAAGAGGTGGCAAAATTGGATTGTTTGGTGGCGCTGGCGTAGGAAAAACTGTGTTGATTCAGGAGTTGATCAATAACATTGCAAAAGCTCATGGTGGTTACTCGGTGTTTTGTGGTGTTGGCGAGAGAACGCGCGAGGGAAACGATTTGTACCATGAAATGATTCAAACCGGTGTGATAAAACTTGATGGTGAATCAAAAGCTGCGCTTGTCTTCGGTCAAATGAACGAACCACCAGGTGCTAGAGCTCGTGTTGCTTTAACTGGTGTCACTATTGCTGAATATTTCCGTGATGATGAAGGTCAAGATGTGCTACTTTTTGTTGATAACATTTTCCGATTCACTCAAGCTGGTTCAGAAGTGTCTGCTTTGTTGGGTCGTATTCCCTCTGCTGTAGGTTATCAACCTACCTTAAGGTATTTTTGAGTCCGTAGCTAATTAAATAAATAACATGAAGTGATTATATTTTTATATTTATGCTATTTATTATCATCAACTAAATGATTATTAATTTTTCTTTTTCACATTAAAACAAAAAAATTAATAATAAACGAATGGATTCTTAACTTGATTAGTACTGGTAATGTTTCAATCATTTTCATTTTCATTCATTATTATAAAATTTTATATTCTATCATTCATTTCAAATATTCAATATTCATAATTTTTCACACACGCACATTACCATATATCATTAAAGATATGGGTGGTATGCAGGAAAGAATTACAACAACAAAAAAAGGGTCTATTACTTCTGTGCAAGCTGTATATGTACCTGCTGATGATTTAACAGATCCAGCTCCAGCCACCACATTCAGGCATAAAAATATTTATTTATTTACTATGACATTGTATTTTTTTATTTAAAATTTTGTGATTGTTCATAATAATGAATACAATTTATTTTTTTAGTCATTTAGATGCAACCACTGTATTGTCACGTTCCATTGCAGAGTTGGGTATTTACCCAGCTGTAGATCCGCTTGATTCAAAATCACGTCTATTGGATCCTAGAGTAGTAGGTGAAGAACATTATAGAGTTGCCACAGATGTACAAAAAATACTTCAAGATTATAAATCTTTACAAGATATCATTGCAATTTTGGGTATGGACGAATTGTCAGAAGAAGATAAGGTAGGAGGGGGTGTTTGAGGTGTGAGGTGCGAGATACGATGGGAGGAGAATGAGTGATTAAAAACGAGGGAGAAAGTATGGATTATTTTATTTTTATGTGATGAGTGTTTTAATTAACCATATTTATCATTGCTGATGTCAATAGCAAACTGTCGAACGTGCAAGAAAAATTCAAAGATTCTTGGTAAGTAATTAAAAAAAGATTTTTTTCCAGTTTTTTAATTATGTACTCTATTAATAATATATTTATTTTGTATGTGTATAGAGTCAACCATTTGCTGTTGCACAAGTTTTCACTGGTTATGAAGGGCGTCTTGTTAAATTAAAAGACACCATTCGTTCATTCAAAGAAATTTTAGAAGGAAAATGCGATGATTTACCTGAAGCTGCTTTTTATATGGTCGGTGATATTGATGATGCAAGGAAGAAAGGAGAAGGTATAAATAATATAAACTTTATGAAGAATATTTTTTTTCGGGTATTTTTCATCTTTGTATTTTACTAATACAACATTTTTATTAGATATTGCAAGAGAAATGGCTAATCAATAAATAGATTAAACTACTATATTTATTATAAAATAAATAATATAAAAAAAATTTTTTATGTATTTAATAAATTTGAGTGAAATCAAAAAGAAAACAAGAATTAAAAATTGATATTGAAAGGAAAAAAAAAAACAATTTGAAGAAAAAAAGCCAAGTAAAGTCTTTTGGGCACCGAATGTATAAAAACGTCATATATATATTATTAATATATATATATAATTGGAATCTCTGATATTTTATTACTTGATAAAACAAGTAATTCACACGTTAAAACATCCTTTTTAATTTTATATATGATATGTTACGTTTATTCAACTTATTGGATATCCTTTCCTCTATAAAATATTTAATATTAAATTATAATACATGTATTGATTGATAATAATACTTGCAGTTAAGTTTGTGAACAGTGTTGTTAACTGAGTGAACATGTCCGGAGGATAAGTTGTTACGCGGACATTTATTGAACAATGTCCGCCGCGTCCGTTCAATATAACAAAAAAATAAATTTTATTCAAGTGATTCGAAAGTGAAAGCAAATTTATATCAACCATCGCATTCCTGAAGATACTGATGTCACTGAGGAGGAGGAAGAGAGAATGAGATTTCAAAGCTAATATAAAATTGGATTCTAGTATGTTTAGGAAGTTTGTATCAAGTATATTAAACAATGGACACAAAAGCAAGGATTTAAGCTTGGAATGTAAGGGGTACACGAAAACAAAATCTTGTTTGTTTTCGTGAAGATACCAATAAAAAAAGAAACCATCTAAATCACAAAGGACAAACTGTAATTGGCATTTAAATCTTCGTGTCCTATAAAAATAATCTAAATGGCCTCATACATTTATAATGAGCATTTGGTTACTTGCTCATTCTGCAAGAAGATTTTAAGCGCTTATGCTAAATGATATTGAATGGGTGTGTGTAGATAGACATTTAAAGCCTCTTGCAGTAAAACGTTGCATATTAAATTCGCATTGCTTATAAAAATACCAAATTTATTTGTGCGAGTGCGCAGAAAAAAAGACCTTTTTAAAAAATAAACATTAAAAAGTTAAAATGTCCTTTGCTAAGTTATTAACACAAGACAGAAGTAAATTAGCATGTAAAATTTATAATGAAATGAATATTATTGCTCATTCTGCTTTTTTAACTGTTTCTAACATTGAAAATTATAAAGGTTATTTTTTACAATTAGTCAAAGAAAACAAAGTACTCTTAGAAAATGAAAAGGAATATTGTAAACAAAGGTTTATTTATGATTTAGAATTAAATAAAGCAGCTAATAAATGGGGTGAACCAAGAGAATGCAATAATTGTAAAACAACAAGATACTCTGATAAATATTGTGAAAAGTGTATTAGTCTACACTTACAGAGCCTTTTCAGTACTTGGACATCTGGAAATGAGATAATTGATGGTTTTATTCAAAAATGTCAACAGCTTTCATCTCTTCCAGACAGAATTATAGAATGGATACCATATGAGCAATTTTATAACATAGAAAAATTAACAGAAGGTGGGTTCAGTTCTATTTATACTGCTTGGTGGACAAGAGGATATATTAATGATTACGATGAAAATAAAAAGGAGTTTAGTTATTGTGGAGCTCAACTTGTAGTATTAAAATCATTAAATAATTCAAGTAATCCAGGAAAACCTTTTTTTGATGAGGTAATTGTTCTTATTTAAAATAAACCATTTATTTTATTTTAAATTAACTAACTTTATTTATATAATTAATTTCAGGCATTGAATTATTGTAAAATCAAATCAGGATTGATTATTCCTTGTTTTGGTATAACTAAACTCCCAGAAAATGGAAATTATGCAATAGTTCTTGGTTATACACTAGAGGGAAATTTAAGAGATTATATACAAAAAAATCATTATAATTTAACATTAAAAGATAGAGCTAATATTTTTATTGATTTATGTGAATCATTATATGATATACATTCAAAAGATTTAATTCATTGTGATTTACATAGTGGTAATATATTAATACAAGGAGGTGGTTGTTATATCACAGATTTTGGATTATGTGGACCAGTTGATGAAAAATCATCAAATAAAATTTATGG